ATTAAGGCCCCGACATCAGGGGTCTACCCGAAGCCCCTTGCAATGCGACGTTCTGCCCCCAGCTGCGCTACCTCGTCGTCCAGCGCCAGGGAAAGAAGGCGCGAGATCCCTGTAATATAGGGGCCTGAATCGAAGAGGGTTTTGGCGTGCGTGATACTGTAGTCACCCTCAACTCTAAGCCCCCAAACCTTAAAACCCCAAAACCTAAAACCCTAAAATCCTAAATCCTAAAACCCTAAACCCTAAACTGTAGTTGGAACAAGGGAATCCTCGGAATGAATATTGGTACTAATTACGGACTCGGTTTTAGGGTTTTAGGGTATAGGGCTTTAGAGTTTTTGGGTTCAGGGTTTAGGGTGGTTAGATTTGGGTTCAGCGTTCAGGGCAGTGTGGTGGTTTAGAGGCTGACAGGTGTCATGCCCCAAACCCGAAAGAAACTTCATACACGAATCCCTGAACGCCATACGCCTACATGCTACTGGAGCCGAAAACCCCAAAGCTCTATCTTCAGCCACACCCAAAACCCTAAACCGCAAGCCGCAAACCCCTGAACCCTAAGCCCTCGAGGGGTTAGGTTTTGCGCAGAGCTTCCCTTCATAGCTCTTTCGTAATCGGTTCGTGTCTCTTCCTGGTGTAGCTGAAGGAAGGCAAAATCCATCTGAAACTCGCTTATGGGCCTGAGCATTGTGCGATACTGGCCCCTAGTTGTCGCCCGCCTCTGCATACACACCACTCACAGGGAAATAGCCTCCGCCCCATCCGGCAGCTGCTTTGGCCAAGATAGTTGAGGATGAGCCTAGACCCTAAACCTTAAGCCCTAAACCTAGGCCCTAAACCCGAAGTGCGACTTGGTAGAGAGAGCTTGGACGCTCCAACGAGCACCGACAGCTGCAAGCTCAGACGAGGTTGCTGATACTTTTGGTTGCAGCTTCCCCGAAGTTTACCATTCAAGATCTAGGCTGGCAGAACCGGGGCCTTCGCCGAAGCCTCAACTACAAGAGGGCCTACCATGACTTCGTCGTGCGATGCGTCTGCAGCCCCGGCCTACAACATGCAGATCTCCGCGGCGTCGAAGTGCCAAAGCTTCATCTAGAACATGCTAACCTGGGTCATGGTATCCGTTGGAGGATCAGATGCAGCACTACGCACGTTTGTTGGGAAGAACACCAAACCCCTATTCAAAGAAGTACAAGTAAGGCTTCTTATGTTTCGTGGGTCTATAAGTATAGACCTGGGCTCCTTGTATTAAGAAGCTGTCTGTGTAGAGGTTTTCGAAATGAAGCCACATGAAGTGTCTGCTTGCAACATGGTAATATGGTTACTGGCTTACAGCTTGGTAGATTGTTGACGCGATGTGCCGTCAACCCCAACAAGCCCAACCCCAAACCTAAACCCTACCAGCCCAAACCCAAACCTTTTGATGCCTCAGGAGTCAAAGCGGAGAGCGGTATCGCTGGAATCCGTAGACCAGGCCCGCCCCCGAAGAGTGAGATTGGGTGCTTGTAAGTCTTCATAAGAACCCTAAACAAGATAAGCTCTAAACTCTAAGGCCGATATTCCCGCAGCCCTAACCCATTGGCCCTACTAGGCCAGACCTGTCCACTGCGCCACTAACCACGAAATCCAGGATAAATTACGTAGCCTTGTTTGAAGCTTCATAGGCAGTCACAGGTACACGTATAGGTTCCACCTCAGCCAAGATGCTTGAAACATACCATATATATATATATATCTCTCTCTCTCTCTCTCTCTCTCTCTCTCTGTTGATACGTTAATCCAAAACTCTTTTCAAAAGCACCCATGGTGGTTCAAGTAAGCCTAAGGAGGGAACTACAAAGCAAACGATGATTGCTGCATCGGCCTGGCCCTACGAAGCCCTGAAGATTTTTGGCAGGCGGGTACCTCTCGAATCCTGTATATGCAAAATGCAAGACCGTTTTACGAGAGCTCGTCCACTACTGATCTTCTCGCTGTTATGCCTTTCACTCTGGTCACACTTAACATCTTCTATAGTTTAGCCTCCTCTGAATTATTTTGCCAGGAAAGAACGAGAGTACGTTGTGCTTCCATAAGCAGCCCTAGACTTGCTCCATGGCCGTAAACACGTAGCACCGTCGATGCTTACGGTTGTAGGTTTCAGGCTGACGGATGTTCACGCGGTGAGGGATGACAAGGCCAGTGTTTCAGATGAGCATCTAAACCCTAAACCCTGAACCACAAGCCCTAAACCCCAAACCCTAAACCCTAAACCCCAAACCCTAAACCCTAAACCCTAAACCCCAAGCCCCAAACCCTAAACAGTACAGTGAGTGAGTTTATCTGTTGTTTCAGATCTGGGCCTGAAGTTCACTGTGGGCTTGGGTTAGTCCACTGCTTGCAGGGTTTAGGGCTAGAGTTCATGTAGGGGCCTAAACAACAATTACCTATACTATTTTTTTTTTAGGGTTTTCGGATCGAACCCACGAGGGTATTGCCGTAGGAACCCCAGTGCCGACACGGCACGCGAACGAGGCTCCCCTTCCTGGCACCGGAATCAAAGGAAGGCACGACATCGAGCCCGACTTCGTATACACCGAGGCCGGCGGCGCTCCCTACCTGTTCTCCAACGTGATTTGCTAAGACTGCATTTCCACCACAGCAAGCCAGCCTATAGAGAGCTACAGGGTCTTATGGGACGCAAGAACGCATGGCGAAGGAACGAGGAGTCACAGGGAGGGCACTACCAGGGTTGGAAACTCTGGGACGGTGCCTGGTCATCCTGGCAATCCTCGTCGCCCAAGGGGCGTGGGAGACAAGATCAACGCTACGACCAGGTGCAGTTCCAGGCCGGTCAAGAGCAGCCCAGGCAAGCGGATCAAGCCCAGCCCGCGACAGCCGATGGGCCGAGACTACTGGCCATACAGCGAGCGGTCACCTCGGCATGCAAAGCCGACCAACGCATCCGACGTATTGCGGAGGAGAAGGCACTCAAGATCCGTCAATGGGATGCGTATGTCAAGGATGCCAAGCGGAAGCTACTCAGGCAGAAACAGCTGCACGAGCAAGACCTCATTCGTCTGGACCAGGAACACAATCAAGCTGTGGAGCAAGGACACCAGGCCACTCAGAGCGCGCAGCAGCTGATTCTGGGCCAACAACCGGAGAAGAAGGAGGACGAAGAACTCCGAGCAGCGGAGAAAGCCTGGGACGAGCTAATGCAGGAGGACGACGAGGAGGAGACGACCGGCTTCCTGGGCGGTGTACTTACCGTGGCGAGAGATCACGGTCTCATCAGGGACCTGAGGCCCCACAGACCATGTGTGGACCGGACAGTTGCGAGGACGGGTGCTCCACCAGACATGGGCCCGCCCACGGTCAGCCAGAGCGAGGAGCACATGGCCCGCGAGTCCACGACGAGTCTCGCTGCAGGTTATGTGCCCGAGGCCAGGCCCAGCCCATACCATATGGCGCCTGGGACGGCACCTTCGCCACCCCATCGAGGAGCGGCAGCCTCTCCGGGGACCAGAGCCAAAGTGATGATGGGACAGGCCAGTGGGCCCAAGAACAGACCGTCAGTCAAGCAACGCACTACTCCCCTCCCTCCGCCGACGATTGGCCTTTCGACTCAGGACAAGCTGGATCGGAAGAGGGCCGAGGCCACGGAGGCACAGGCCAGGCAGGCTATGCCCGCGATGGGGCCCCAGGAGCATGTTACCAAGGCCGAAGAGAACGCGGATTTCGAAGGCAAAGACAGCCTACCCAGCACCTTCCCGACACCGCCAGGCCTGCCGCCGGGGGCTACGTTCAGCCTTGTGGAGGACGACGAGGATCTGGACGGCCCCATGTCGGGCATGGAGTAGCCATGGGCTGCCCTGGGGCTGGGCGGGACCTAGGCCCCCTTGCCGTGAGAGGGAACGGTTGGAGTGAACCTTGGGGATGGGTACACTCCACCGATCCTGGGACGGTTGGGGAAGGCCAGGCTCCGGATATCAGCCCCCGGCGCCCTAAGTGGAGGTGCTTACAACTGAGGCCAGCCGTCAGTGTACAGAGTTTTGGAGATTTTTCTGTACATATACGGAGGATGTGTCCTGCCGGATGTCTCGATGCGTGTGCCCCGCCCAGCCAGGTCAGAGGATCCAGAGCAGGTTTTTATCCAATGAGGCAGTGTTTCCAGAGAGGCAATCGCGCCCCCTTTTTCGGCAGCGACCTCCCCTGCCGATCGCCGGCTTGGCCTATAATCCCTTCAGCCCTACTAGGCTCAGGTCGAAGCCATCCAGGGACGGATGACCCGTTCTTCTGTAAGTTCCTCCTCTGTCCCGTTCTATGTGTCCTTTGTGGAGTCTGCCTCAGTACATGCCTTTGCCTTCGCAAATCACTGGAGGACTCGTGGGGCTGCCTTGGTTTCTTTTGTCACCTATGGGGCTTTAGGTTGAGTGTTGCTTTGCTCCCTTTGCAGCCGAACTCGCAGGCGACAGGTCCTCAGGCTCCCATGTCGGGTACAATTCCCGTCGGAGTGTGCTTACTCCTGACGTTGCAGCTGACAGGTTTGCTAGCATGCATCCCCGAGCAAGGGATCATCGCACTTGAGCTTCAGGCTTATGGGCTGGCCACTACTGGAAGCCTTTGTCTGCTGGCTTGCCTTTTGTATTGCCTCGTGCTTTGTGCCTTCTACAAACGTCCTTGGGGTCGCGGGCCCACTTGCATCAGGTGCCAGGCGCCCTTCCAGGCTGTTATCTTGGGTTTAGGAGGCCTTGCCCGGATCCGACAGGCCAGTTCCGAGCGGCCTAAAGGCAGGTTGCAGGTCCGCCGCTGTGCTGACCGTAGGAGGTACGAGGCGCGGCCAATCTCAAGTTCCCGGTTTTTGCCAGGATCTACAAGACTTGCTTGGCTATGGTGGACCCTCCCCGTCTGTGTAGATGCTGGGCCTTTCCGCGGCATCAATCCGGTTTGGGTCCTAAGTTGTCCGACGGCCTTAGCCTCCATCTTTGACCAACAGGAGCCACCTCCATACAGGGCAACTGATGACCGAGACCCTGCGGCAGCTTTGCCAAGAGCTTGGAATGCGCCGGCGGCCGCCGATGGAGAAGGCAGCCAAGGCATCGGAGATGGCCTCTTTCTTGAGCCTCACGAATGGGCTCCTGACCGAGCCGAGCACGCCCCAGATAGTGCTCCATATGCCACCATCACGTGGCCCATTGCCCGCACAACTGGCGCTATGCCACCGCATGCATACAATACTTACCATCCGGGTGCTGTTAAGCTTCCCTTCGATGCGGAAGGAACTCGAGTCTCCCGGGATGGCCGCTGGCTGGGCATTGTGATTTACGCGCCCTTTTATCAGCCCCAGACTTGGGCCCTGTCTTTGGACATGCACCCTTGTCCCGACGCCCTCCTTGAGGCACTCTTGCAGCTAGGGGATGATCTCTTCGATGAAGGCTTGGACACAGTCGTGCCATTACGTCCACAGCGTTTCAACGACTACGCCTCGATGCTGATGTTTCCCAAAGTCTTGGGAGATCTTCACCCCGATAAACATGTAGCTGCCGTGGTGGATGCGTCCACTGTAGGAGGTCACCATTTCCCAGCGGTACTTCCCCGATCAGTTTCTGTGAGCTCGTTGTTGCACTACCTACGTCAGCAGCTGCGTGCGGATGTGGATTCCTTTTGGGTGTATGTAGGACTTGATCAGAGCCCCTACGACGAGACAGCTGTTCTCTGTATCGAGGACGGCGACGTGCTGACCATAGCCCGCCGAGGTGAAGGCCCCCCGCGAGCTTACGTCTTCACCGATTTATTTCGTGACGGTGTCCAATTAGGACGACCCCACCAGACCCCAGGCGCTCCGAGCGCCCCACGCAACTTGTGCCTGCTCCATGGCAGAGAGCGGTACTGCATCCATGCCAGTTTTCATGACAACAGGACACCATTGGAGGCCGCAGCTTTGTTTGTCGATGCGGACCCTGCGGAGGTTACTGTCTGTGAGGCTGAAGGCTTCGGAGATTTGGACATGATGGGGGATTCCTGCCCGAAATGCCTTGCCGTTGTCAAGCTTCCCCCCCGAGATGGGACAGACCACCTTTCGACGGGCCGCGTCGATACCTTCACCTTTTTGGACTTGCGGCCCTTGGGACTGCGTCCTCAATGCCATTACTCGCATGCACACAGCGTGCACCTTCCCACACTTTTGGCGTTGTATGATGTCCGCCTTCCATTAGGGACGGGTCTTCAGGTTCTAGGGGGCTTGATTCAGGGTGATTACATAGAGGTGCCCAGCGTTGCCACACTTGTCTTGCGTGCCTTGCCCCTGCAGCCACGCGTGGACCCACACGGAAGCTACGCTGCAGCTCTCTTTGACCGCCGCATGGGCCCCGATACAGCTCCTGACTCCGACACTGAGACGGAAGGTCCCGATCACAACTCTCACGGCCCTCGTCAGGCCAATGCTCCTTCAACGGACAGGCGTAGCCGATCGCCGGCTCGCCAGCCGCCTTCTGCTGAAGGGCCTCGTGCGACTGGATGCCCTGACAATCTCCAGGTGTCACAGGTCCAGGTACAGGTCCAGGCCAAAGGGCATCACCTTCCCGCGCGCATCCTTGACATCGTCCAAGGTATAGAGGTCGAGGCGGGTTTTCTTACTGGGCTCATGGCCGAGCCCCTGCAGTGCAAACTCCGAGAAACCCCGGATCTTACAGTCAGACAGGGGGAAGAGATCCAGCTTACCCACGAGGCCCACCTACAGGTCATCTACCAGCCCTTCGGGGAAGGCGTTCTCCCAGCAGACGCTCCCCCGGAGCTTACACCTGGCGATGAGGACCAGGACATGGGGGAGGATACACGCCGACAGCACATCCATGCCATGTTTCTGCTCCTCACCCCGCAATATGCAGTCGATGTCGTGCTGGTCCACCTTCATGTAGGTTGCTCGGTTCCCGAGGCGCTGGAGGAGCTCGATGATGTCCGTGTGGCGGAGCGCCGCGCATGGTTCTCCCATGTGGTGCCAGCACAGCCCCAGGTCACTCGAGAATTTGCTGTGCTGCTTGCGTCCCCCTCCTGGGACCTCGAACGGGTCTATGTGCTCATAGACGCCCGGGCTATTCAAGGTACCCTCTTTGCCGAGCGCCTCCCTGACCAAGTTGCTAAAGGTATTCTCCTTGAGGTCGCCGGCCTCGGAGTTAATACTGACGTTGAAGTTTACCTTCATGATGAGCTCGTCCCTTTGCATGACGACCAATTGGTGCGACTTTGGCATGGTGTTACCTTCTTGCCAGCGGGACAACCATTTGAACCGGGTACCTCTTTGGCCGTTATGCTACAGACGCCGCAGGGCTGGGATGCCAATGCCCCTATCCCTTGCCAAAATTCACCAGCCTTCACTGTTCTGACAGATGAGGGCAGGGCTCGTTATCCCATCGACTTCGATCGACGGGCCCAGTTACGTACCGATATTGCTACATACCTGGGGTATGAGGCCCGCAGGCTCACTCTGAGACGTTCTCTTCCAATTATTGAGGACTACAGCGACCGTGGATGGCACAGCCGTGCCGTCGTTGTTGCCACGCAGAGCATACGCCGCCCTGTGCCCCGACCCCCACAGCAATTCATTGTCATTTATGACCTGCGCCCCCTGTTGGAAGGCTTGAGGTGGGTAGTCTTACAGCAAGACTTCATTCCTATTGCTGCCTTGTTCGCTGAGCTAAGACCCCTTTGTCCGGAGGGTCATGCTTTAGGCGTTGCCGGAGGTCGTCCGGACCAGCACAATGGGGAAAGCGTGCTACGCGTGGCAGACGGACAGACCATCATTTTTGAGGTTGCAGGCCTGCCAAGGCCTACCGTTTCTGCAGGCGACGAGTCGGACGATGACAGTGACTCCGGAAGGAGTGAAGACACCTACGACGCCATCCATGGCCCGGGAGACCGAGAGGCACGCAGTAGGTCACCCCGTCCAGGGCCCCCCTTCCGGCCGCATAGGGGGTCAGCCGCTGAACCGGTTGATGACGTCCTTCAGGGCACAACAGAAGGTGTTGAGGCATGTACCGGTCGAGTTGATATGTGGGAGAACTGTCAGATTTTAGGCCGTCTTTCTTCAGACAACAGTTCTTCCACCTCTATCCTCCCTGTTCAGACCCCGCACTGTACCTGCAGCCCCGCAGGACCTCCGGAAGGCGCGCACCTTTCTCCAACAGCGCACACTTCAGGTCAGAATCATGGATCAACCGGCGCCTCCGGTTCGACGACTTCCATGCATCCGACAGGATGCGTGGATCAGTCAGGGACACTGCGCCGCCAGGCCGCCAGACCATCAAGTGCAGAGGATTCCTTACAGGCATCTTCAGAAGCCGAATGCCATCATCGGGGGTATAGGGAGACAGAGTATCCTGTGGTTCTCCTGACTCCAGCACATACCCCAGAGCTGGTTTACGCGCCCATCCGCGAACATAATCCTTGGGCCGCGTTGCCAATTGTTCACAGCCATCGCTCTGGGGTCCGGTCTGGGAAATACCCTGTTGTTATTCCAGTTATCCCTCAGCCCTCGTTGGATTTCCTTACTTTTCTTGCCCTGCCGGAATGGGTTCACGATACCCGTGCTGTGACAGTCGCCTGTTTGGATTTCAGGTTGGTAGATGGCAGATTTTTCTGTGACGTCGTCCCAGAACAAGTTACCCGGGGTTCGTTGCTAGATGCCTTCTTCTCCCAGTCCGAGGGTCAGGAGGACGTTCAGGTTTTTGTCGGGGCGGGGCACTGCCTGACGCCCGGCCAAGACCCTATTGCCCTCTACACTGGGGTTCGCATCCGGTTCCAGCGAGCCGCCACACAGCAAGCAGCAGATGCCCCCCACTTGCCCGAACAAACGCCAGCGGCACCTGCGGTGCCACTCTTCCATGTTGGGACCAGTCTTTTAGTTTTGGGAGACGGCGCCAGCTGGGTAGTTCCTTGTGAGGATCGTGCCGTCGATCCCAATGCGCTAGTTGACGCTCTCGGACTAGCACATGATCGAGTCACGTGCCGTCTTTTTCGCACACCCCTACAGGACCTCTGCTGGCAAGGTCAGGATTGCCAACACATCTGTGTTTGCATTGACAATTTCCTGCATGGCCCACGCCTGGGGGAGGAGCATGGAATCGCTCTATTAGACTGCAGAGCCATACTCCGTGGCCTCTCATGGGATTTCCTGTCACACGGCTTTTGCGCAGTCGACAGATGCCGGGAGAGATATGCCTACTGTACGCCCCCGGGATGCCTGTTGGAAGTTCTGGGCGACCCCAGGCACCATCTGGGCCAGCGAACTTGGATTGCTCACCCAGAGGCATTGTTTCAGCTCGTCTTTACCCAAGCCATCGGGGATGATGCTGGTAGTGACGTTTCTGTTCCTGCGGCAGAGGGATCCATCGATAGGACTGGGTCAGACTTGCACACTAGCACTGCCTCAGGTGTCACGCAGGATGTAGGTGCTTGGGGCGTCCCCCGGATTCAACGCTCACTTACCAGTCCGAGCCTCCGGTCCACCCAGGCCCGGACAGGCGCAGCTACAGGTTCAGGCTCAGGTGCTCCACCGGCGCTTCGTTGGTTGGCCAGGGCTACCCTCTTGTGCACCCTTCTGTGCCCTGGGGCCTCTGTCCAGCTCGGCTCTGATCAAGCCGGTGCTTGGGCAGTGTCCGGCTTGCCGGCCCGAACCGAGGATGTTTCTGCCTCACAAGTTGCAAGCCCGGATGTTCATCTTACAGAAGCTCATAGATTCAGCAGCCACGTCCCGACTGCCGTACAGGTCGGGCCGCGCACAGCGGCCTGCCCCATTCCGGGTCGCACCTGTTTCCCGCCTGCCCAGGGTCCAGCACGTCCAATTGAGGCAAGACGACCTCTTCCTACGCCATGCCGCGCTGGAGGCTTTGGCGTCGAATGGCTTTGCTCGGGACCCACTCTCTTGGAGCAGTGTGCCCGCAGCCCGTCTTTTCAAGGGTTCTTCCTGGCCTGGACCCTTCTAGAAGTTTTGGAGGAGGAACAGCATTACATCCCTGTCAGGGACGCAGACACGCGTCATGTCATTTCCCTGGACAGCTCCGTCCCGCTTACTTCCTTCCAAATTTCGGTCCAAGAACTGCAGCACATTGTTCCAGCTTTGCCCAGCGGAGGTGCTGTTGACTATGACTCTTTGCACCAGGATTGGCTGGATGCAGACCTTCGCCCACTCCTCGCGGACCCCCTAGTGCCACCCCAGTGGCAGCAAACCTTTGCCCGTCTTCCTTCATGGCACGCGCAGCCGCAATGGGATAGACTGATTCGCATTGAGATTTTTACGGACGGGTCCGCGGAGTGGCGGGGTCCGTCCGGGATTCAGGTTACCCCGGCAGCGTGGGCTTTTTCGGTTTGGGCCAGGACTGATGAGCAGCTTTTCTTTTGGGGGGCCAGTGCACATCAAGCAGTCCCACCGTACACCCCCTTCTGGTTGGGTGAGATTGAGGACACCCCGCTTGTTGCCGAGGTTTTGGCCCTGGCCTGGGCACTTGTGTGGTCCATCGAGGTGGGTTCCAGGTGCAAGGTACCTATTCTCTTTGCCTATGACTCCACCAGCGCTGGGGGGTGCCTTTTGCTCTGCCCGTTTACCGAATTGCAAGCACACTGATGGCGAAGCCAGTGTCGTAGAGATGATGGCCCTGTTCAGGCAATGCTTGGAGGCAAGGGTCCCGGTCGTTCACACGCATGTGCCAGCTCACGCGGGCATCACACAGAATGAGTTAGTGGACCAATTATCTAAGCAGGCTAGGAGAGGTCAGGCCTCGCTGTACGATCGCTTACTGCCATCATGGCCGGGTCAATGGCACCGCCATCCTCTGCGCCGATGGGGCTGGCTCGCCCATCATTCCTGTTCCAGCCTACCTCCGCTTATGACGCTGCAGGTGGAGGCCGCCAGGCTACAGGTGAATGAGGAATGTGTGCACCCACCTAGACATGGCCTGGTGGAAACCAAGCTTCAGGCATCCTGGATCGCCTACGAACTGACTTTTGTCACCTACAATGTTCTTACCCTTTTCAGTGCCGACATCCCAAAGGGCCGACAGGTACGTTCCCAGGGCACAGGCATGTTGATTTCGGGTAAGAAAGACGTCCTGAAGGCCCAATTCCTTCGCTTAGACGTTCTTATGATAGGACTGCAGGAGACGAGACTGCCGAGCAGCGAGTGCCTTCCTGACAGTCATTTTGCTATCCTCAGCTCGGCTGCGACGGAGCAAGGCTCTTATGGCTGCTCATTATGGGTGAACTTGGGCAAGGCATATGCTACTGTCGCCGGGCAGCCCCTCAAATTGAAGCGAGAGCATCTCGCTGTGACTGCTTTCTCGCCACGCCATCTTCTGGTCCACATCTCAGCCCCCCGTCTCTCCCTCACGGTTCTCGTGGCACACGCGCCTAGGGTTGTTCGGGGTGATGAGACCGAAGCTAGGACTTTCTGGTCAGACAGGTTGCGCGAGGTACATTCCAGGGTCACCGGGGCAGAACTGGTTGTGCTGGCTGATGCGAATGCACATCTGGGCTCTATACCCACTGCGGCGGTTGGGGCCTTCGGACAGGAGCCTGAAAACACAGGTGGTGAGCTTTTTCAGGACTTCCTTCTTCGGGCCGAGCTGTGTCTTCCTTCCACTTTCGCCGCGTGTCATCGTGGCATTCACCATACATGGATTGGCACTGGCCAGTGCCCTACCAGACACCGGCTGGACTATGTAGCTGTGCCACAATCTTGGTTGGCCTTTGAGATGAGCTCATGGACATGGGAAGATTTTGAGGCCCTGCAGACCAGGCAGGACCATCTTCCTGCTGTTCTCAGTGTGGTCTTTGGGAGGTCCGCACCAGCTCTACAGTATGCTACCAGTAGGAGGAAGGCTTGCAGGCCTGAACATCCTATTGGGGAGGCACATCGCCAGGCCTTTGCACAGGGACTAATCGGCACCCCCCAGCCCCCGTGGTTAACCCCAGTAGATGCTCACTGCCATGCCCTGGTCGACACCTTTACGGGACTTGGGTCGGCAGTCGTTGTGGAGTCGGAGCGCAATCCCCGCCAGCCTTACCTATGCAAGGACACCCTTGCACTTGTTCAGGCTAGGACCGCCACCCGAGCTCTGATACGACACGCGGAAGCCGAACACTTGCGCAGACTCACCATGATCTGCTTTGCCGCCTTTGTCCAGCTGCGGCGAGGACATGCCTTCGCGCAGACAGCGTTGGTTACTGCCGACGGCTGGTTACGTGACAGCGAACACAACATTGCCGTTGCGTTGGACCAGTTCAACTGGCAAACCAGCGCCGTGCGTGCAAGGGTAAGGCATGACAGGGTGCACTACCTGAAGGGTTTGGTAGATAAAATCTCCCTACAAGACCTCCGCCATCCTCGGGCGCTCTATCAGGCGGTTCGCAAGGCCTTCCCTACGGCGAGGTCAGCCCGGCGTGCCGCTTTCCAACCCTTGCCAGCCGTACGGCTTGCCAATGGGGCTCTTGCGCCCGATACTGCCTCCAGGGCAGCCAGATGGACGGCCTACTTTGCAGAGCAGGAGGCGGGTGAGGAGATAGCCTTAGAAGCGTATGCCGACTGTTTCCATACGTCGGCCATGCAGCCGACAAAAAACGGGCCACACTTTGCGCTGGACGCACTTCCCACCCTGCTTGAAGTCGAACAACAGACGCTTTCCCTTCCGCGGAGGAAGGCAGCAGGTCCTGATGGCCTGACAGCCGAGTTGCTACAGGTCAAGCCCGGGCTGACTGCACAGTGGGCGTTCCCCCTCTACCTCAAGACAGCTCTTTCCCTGCAAGAGCCCACGCTTTGGAGGGGTGGCTCGCTCATTTGCCTGGCCAAGAGAGCCACGGCCCTCTTTGACTGCAATGCGTTCCGATCGATTCTCCTTGAATGCCTACCCGGTAAGGTTTACCACCGTATCCTTCGAGGTAAGTTGGCGCCACACCTCGCACAGGTTAAAGGTGACTTACAGGCCGGACAACTGCCAGGCATGGGCGTTGAAGCGATCGCCATGGCTGTGAGGGCCTACCAGAGCTGGGCCAAGTCTTCAAATTTGCACTCGGCTCTTGTGTTCTTTGATGTCAAGGCTGCATTTTACCGTTTGATTCGCGAGTCTCTTACCTTCTCGTCGGACACGCAGGAGTCGGAGGAGGGGCTGAGGCGCATGCTGCATGGCATCGGTGTGCCCCCAGCTGCTTTGTCGGAGCTGGCCCATCACCTGAACCAGGCGTCCATTATTGCCGCCTCGGGGGCCTCCTCACAGCTCACAGCAATGGTGGCAGACTTGTTACGCGGAACATGGTTTCGCCTCGACGGGGCGGCTGCCCTTGTGTTTACGCACAGGGGCAGCCGCCCCGGAGATCCCATGGCCGACGTTTTGTTTGCCTTCACTTTCGCCTCCTATGTAAAGGCAACGGAACAGGCGCTTTTGGAAAGACACCTCGCACCAGTTCTGCCCACTGCTTCGCGGGCCGCCCCCTGGGTCAACTGGGAGGTGCCATCCTCGATAGGTTTGGCCGCCTGGGCGGATGACTACGCCCTTTGCCAGGCAAGTGCGGATCAGCAGGAGCTTTGCCGAACCGTCGTTCAGGCAACCCAGGTTTTAGCGGAAAAGGCCACAGCAGCTGGCATGGAACTGACCTTTGCCCCGGACAAGACGGCAGTCCTACTTGCCTCATCCTGTCCCCTGACACCAGATTTAGGGTTGACTGAGGATGCACTTGGCAACAAAGGCTTCTGGATTGCCAACACGGTTTTAGACCAGAGCCACTTTCTCCCTGTAGTCGATTGCTACAAACATTTGGGAGGGATTATCAGTGCCAACAACACTCCCAGCCAGGAGCTAGGTTACAGGTTTGCGCAAGCCCAAACCATGCTCAGGCCTCTCAAGAACCGGCTCTTCGCCAATCGGCTAATACCGGTTAACGTAAGACGGCTACTGCTGCGCTCTCTGGTGATTTCGCGTTTTGTCTTTGCGGGATCAACCCTGCAGCTTCACGCGGGCCAACACCGCAGACAATGGCACCGCCATTTTGTGGCCTTGTGGCGAGCCCTTTGTCCAAGGGGGCGCGATGAAAGCCGGCACATTGCTTTGTTGTGTTGGCACAGGCTCAGGCCCCTTCTCCCCCTCTCGCTTTGGCGCTGATGCGGGCGGTTCTGCTCCGCAAACTTTTGACGCAGGGGCCTGCTACACTTTTGCACCTTCTTCACGTACACTGGCGTGTTGATCCAGCCAGATCTTTCCTGCACCAGCTTACCCAGGACGTTGAAGCTGTGGGGGTATACTGCCCTAATGTCAAGCTCCTCCAGGCTCAGGGCTGCGCAGTCACTGCTCTGGTTGAAGCCGTGCAAACAGACCCGCGCTGGTGGGTTGGACAAGTCAAGAAGGCTGGTCGAGCTTACCTGCAGACTTTGTACGGCTGGCTGACTGGCGCCCGGGCAACGGGCTCTCCGGAGATACCAGCTCCAGCTCCAGTGTCCCCAGCGCGCCTCCGCCCCTTTCGCTGCCCTGTTTGCCCGGCTACGTTTGTCCACCGCAAGCATTTGGCAGTGCATGAGGCGCGTCAGCACGGCCGCATCAGCATTGTTCGATTCTTTGCTAGGGGGCCCCTCTGCCCCTGCTGCTTGCGCCTCTTTCATTCCGTGGAGCGCATGCAGTATCATCTTAAACAGACGCCGACATGCCTCGCCCGCATTGTGCATGTCTGGCCGCCCATGTCACTGGATGAGGTCAGGGAGATGGAAAGTACGGACCGTAGCCAGGTCAAGGCCCGCAGGGGAGGCAGATGGCAGACACATAGTGCGGTTCGTCCTGTACAGCATACCCTAGGCCCACGCTTTCCAGTGCATGTGGATAGACTCCAAGGCCTCTCATCCGAAGAGGCAACACTGGACGTTTTCCGCACTTTTCGGCCGGCGCCTGGCCATGTCCACGAAGTTGCGGATTATATAGCGGCGGCCTCCCGCGAGGGGCCTCGTACAGAAGGCACGGATTTCTGGCTAAAGAAGCCAGGATCTTGCGGGGAGGCGCCGCCGACCGTTTCACGTTTTCTTAGTTTGCAAATTTTGGGACGCGCCTCTGGATAGGCTCTACAGTCCGAACGAACGAACGTATACTATTTTTGGGGGGCTCCTTATTATCTGTATAGTATAACCCTAATCTGGTTGTTGAGGCCCCTATATTAGAGTTCACAGACTGTTTAGGTCTTAGGTTTCTGGTATACTTCGTGCTCAGGTTCGAGGTAGGGCGTCAGGCGTAATCCCGGTTGCTCAAGCCCTTCGTCTTCCGAAGTGTCACAGCACCTGACCGGAGCCCGGAACCCTAAACCCTAAACCCTAAAACCCTAAACGGTAGGAATCGCCTAAAACCCCAACCCCCCCAGCGCCAGAGTTGATGTACAGCCGATGTTCAAATCACCCAAGGCCCACCGAGCTATTGGGAAGTGTGGTCCCTCCTAATGCAGAAGCCTGATCACTTATCGATGTTATGCGTTAAGGTTTTTTGTTAAAGTGCCATAAGATACCCCCCCAAAAGCCAGACTGTACTCTAACTGCTGAAGATGTCTTTTTGTTCACCGAGCCTCTTGCAGCTGCAGGTCTGTGTCGGCGAGGTCGAGCTC